TCCCAATTCTTTTCTTTTTATATATCTTTCTATATATTTGTAGCTTATTATTATATTTTAACTATAAACTTATATATATATATATATATATATATATTACAGCATGCTGATTCAAACATTTGATGATAGCTGCAGCACCACTAACATAACGCACGAGAAGGGCTTTCTTTTCTATGTGGGGTTTATGATGACATCAATCCCACCCTGTCATGACGCTTGTTCCCTTTGAGAGCACTATTGCTGCTTATTGGTGCTTGCTTAACTTATATATGCCTCTTCCTCTGCATTTCCTGGCATACATACATCGTGAGAGAGAAACCTTGCAACTTATCAGTACCTGTTGTCTGTTGCCTTGTACTAATGATGAGTGCTCTTTGAATTCTCCTTCACATTTTTCACTTTCATATGCTTTTTCTGGTTTTTTCTTATCCACCATTCATGCATGTCTTCAGTCATTACCAAAACAAATAATCTAAACTTATAAACACAAAAACCAAATTATGTTACATGTTGGATCTCATGGATATTAATTATGAATGAAATATTTAGATTTTAGCACAAGCAAGAAAAAATAAAAGAAAAAAAACCTACATTCGTCTGCAATCATGAAAACCAGGGGTTAAGTACACGCATGATGGATCTCTTGCGGAAAAGCCTTAAGTTACCTTCGCAAGCAAACTTTAATTCTTAGTGGGCCAACCATACTCTCCTATACTACTATATATATACATCTTGTTGTAGTACTAAAATTAAATTACAAAAGAGCTCGCCTGACATACCTCCAACATCACAGAAGATCATATGTCCAATTTATATGCTCTTTGTGAATTGTGACCGTTACTGGTTTATTTGTAGAAACAAAACAATGCCATCCCGAAAGGGGTCAGAAATTACTTAAACACTACGGGAGCTAACGAAATAGCTTATTTAAACTTAGGTGCAAGGGAGCGAACTTACTGGCTTGACCAATTGACCTAAATCACGTATGCAGCTTGCTAATACATTTTTTATCGTACTTAATGCACAAATTACAACAAAGCATGAAATCTTTCAGTGTGGTGGAAGTTGGAACTGCCGAATTTGAAGTTAACAAAGGCAGGTTCCACTTCCATAATAATTGATGCTTAGTACTTGGCCTACATATTTTTTTTGGTTTTCCCATTTCACTCATTCAGCTGCTTCCTATCTTTCTAGAGATTTCTAGCTACCCACTTGCAAACCCTAGTGCTCTGTACCTGTCACTCAATAAAATATTTATGATGAATCCAAATCAGTCCTTGTACCAGTCACGTACCCAAAACAAAAACCATCCCATCTTCATTTTCAATTTCCAGATTTCTTTTTTCCCCGAATTAATATCAAATAAATAGTAGGATACATATGTAAGATCGTACGGAGGAACAATTGTTTAAGTTGAAGTGGTATATTAATTATAAAAAAAAGGGGCTTTTTGGCAAGCTTAGTGTGCTTGCAAGTTGCAGCGAAGTCCACAACTTTAAGCTTCTCTGCAAATATATTAAGCACCCTCTGAGTTTGCCCTGTTATAAAACAGAGAAGAGATTAGGCACTCGTTTAAATAAAACTATATCCTTTTGTCACTTATTAGATAAAGTAATAGGATCCTTTAATTCCTTTGTGTCTGTCTGTGTTTATATATAAAATAAAATGCAGAAACTTTTCTTACATACGTAATATTATTCCCATTAAGTCATTATCAAAATACATTTCTCTCCAAAAGCCTACACTTGAACTCCAACCAAACGTTGAAACCTACCTACCTATCAATTTGGGTACTGCTTTTTTTGACAGAGAAGCAAACAAATTAAGATTCACCAGCTGCAACCTGCAAGTTATAACATACCTAATATTTCATACGAGCGAAGGCATCATCTTAAACTTGATTAACTGTTAAAAAAATAATCTAAGTTGTTCCATTAATTAGCATTAATGCAGATCATTAAGTTAAGCAATCAACATTTTAATCTCAGGGTCGTAAACTAACCAAAAGGAAGCCAACATGAATGGACGGTCATATTGTTGGCTAAATCCTAAATGTGATGATCAATAGGATCTGTGAGTGGGGCCATACAAAATCTCTGCTTTGAGCCAAATTCCACAAAACTTCAAATTCCCAATAAAGCAGTCCATGGTGCTTGACTGGGTATAGTATAGTGTTTTTCTACCCCTATACCTGAGTAGCTGTCCAAGTCATGGATGAACAAGAATATTGAGTTGGAGATAGTTTATCCTTTGATTTGTAGGACAAGAACACCCAATTTTCCAAAGGGATGTGTCCCCATGGTGGGACAGTGCTCTTCTGCTTCCAATCATACCCTCCACCAGTTCATACGTCTTTGTCAACTATACCAGAAATTTCATTTTTCTCCAGCCGAAAGTGAAGTAACTCCTATATATATTGTAGTAAACCAGAGAGAGAGAGAGAGAGAGAGAGAGAGAGAGAGGAGCTGAAAATAGCAGAGTCTTTAGAAAGTGCAACACATGTACCTGCCAGGTTACTAGGGGGGCTTTGGCCTAATGACTTTTATCTTAAGCAGGGCCTCCCTATCTAATTTTTGGGATGGGAAAGCAAAGGTGCTTTTGAAGTATTTTTAGTTGATCATAGAAATGAACCTCATCTAGCAATTGCCTACATTTATTTTTCTTCTGCTAAAAGATATTTCCATGAAATCGTTTCAAACCAACTACAAGGAGTTGATGCTGTATATTATACATCACAGAAAATGTATGCAAAACCTTTTAGTCACAAGAAACTCATAACTCAAGTGGTTATGATAATTTACTCATGTACGCACATGAAGTTTTAAGTTCGATTTCCCACTCCTCCAGTATCTCTTCTATAAAACAAAAAAACAATTCAAGTCTTTTTCATCCACCCTGCAAACCCCTTACAACCTAGTGTATTTTTCAGTTTTACCTGCATTAATTGCATTATTTCTCAAACAACAAAACAAATGGGTTTTGTGGGCTTTATCAATCAGATGTTAATGATGAAATGGGATCAAGGCCCTAGTCTAATCACAGGCTATAAGAAGTGTGCGTTGGCCCAAGGTGGATGCACTTGAGCTTGGCAAATGGAGGGTGGGTGTATGAATGAATCATTGAATATTGGACCCATCAAATTGTTGATAATGGAATGGATATGGACGCAGTGTCTGCGAAATTTTGGAAGCATCGGATAATGCAAGAGCCAGAGACATAATAGTAAAGCCAGGTTTAGTCTCTTGGAATGTTTGTTGGTGTGTGGCGAACGAATGATTGCTTCTGCATTATCCTACCAAACATTGATATACATTTTCTTTGCCCACCACCCACAACCACAAGATGGTCGAATTCATAAGCAAAAAGGATTATAAGCAGACCTTTATTAATTAGTACTAATAAGATTAAGAAATGTTCCTAATTATTTCCTTAGTAATAAATAAGAATGTTAATTGTGTTTTTTATTTGTATATGACATGCTCGTGTTCATGATCACATATATACAACAGCTGACAATTATGATGATTTGTATTTTGTAGAGAGAGAGAGAGAGTTGCTGCGGCCATAGACTAATGATGAGAGAGAGAGAGAGAGAGACAGAGAGAGAGAGAAGGTTTGTGTTGTGTTGTGTCCATATATGTGTGTGTGTATATATATATATATGCATGATTTATTAATGTCCATCTCCGCGACAGAAACAGAAACAGAAACAGAAATTAATGCAAAGGAGGCCCAGCTGAAGTTTAGAGAGCAGTCATGGCAGCTAGCCAGCTGTGAAGAAGATAGCTAGGATAGGATCATCAGTAATTTCCCTCACATCATAAGCATGTTATGTCGTGCTCTCTCTCTCTCATATCCTGCTCTTTTATTTATTTATTGTCACATTTTTACTTGGACATATTTATTATGAATAATATATATGTCTCGTGCACTTCAACTTCTTAGTCAATCTCTATATTATTACTTCTTGAATGAAAATAAAGTCATCTCTCTCTTGCAAATTGCCAATGCACTTTCATTTGTTTGTGTTTTTTAAGTGTTATTCATGGGGTAAGTAGTAGTAGGTGATATTTAACAACTGTTAATATTTTTTGTAATTTAGTAATTTTTTTTGTAATTTTTATTACCAAAATCGAATATTCTCATTATTAATGAAAAAACACAGCCTTGAGAAAGGAGCATTGTCGTCATTCACTGAGAAAATTACAGCACAAAAAAGAACAGAAAAGAAAAAGAAGATCATATCATTGTCCCGAAAGGACCACCTCGACCATTGACGTGACAAGAGAATATTGCTCCACAAAGCACCTTCAATTCCAATTTCACGACACCATCAAACTCGGACGGCTCGGATCCGGACAACACAATCACAGCCGTGTAACTTTATTTCTTTAATTTTTTTTAATCCAAAAATAATTTGATAGCCAATCCATGCAATCCGATTTGCACCTCAACTAAAATCTGCAAGTGTCCCACCCACGGGTTTTATTAGTAACGACCACGAGATTAAAGTAACAACTTCTGTCTGCTATAATCACCTAATTGGACTCTCATGTACACTACCTTTACCTTACATGACCCAAATTCATTATTTCTTAATCCCATACCTCTAATGACTACAATGCCCCCACCATTATAATCTATGAGATAGTCTAAATTACTACAAATCAATTTAATTTACGAATAACAATTTGAACTTTAATACGACGAATTCGCTATCCTACCCAACTAATCTAACACATGCCTACCCTAACACTTTATTGTTAAGTAAATTTCAAAATGAAAATAAATAAGTACAGCGGCACTTTGGAGTTGAGCAAAACCAATTAAAAAAGGAAAAACAACCCCCACACACAACACAACACAATGTCCAAAAATAATTTCACTCTATACGTAGAAACAATTAATTATTAAAATCAAAGTGGAAAAAAATAAAAAGAAGAGGAAAACAAAATGAGTTTGGACTCAGCCCCGAGTCATGCCTCGGACTCGTTTCGTTGTCACGGTCGCGCACAGCCATGACGTGAAAAACCGAGCCGCGACTTGTCCCTGTCAAACTCGAACAGGAATCCTTGTTGCATCAGATTCCCTATCACCCCAAAACCCGACCCGGACTCCACGGGCTGGATCGCCAAGCACTTGACCTGCTCCGCCGTGTCTATGAAGTAGCTACTCGGCGGCGGAGCGAACAACGCGTTCCCGACGAGTCTGAAACTCAGCCTGGGTAGACTCGGCCTCGCCACGCCCGACAAGTTGATGCAAAGATCGAAGCCCCGAGTCGGCTCGGCTGGCTTCGCAACGTGTCTCAAGCTCCGCTTAAACGCCGCCAGGATGAGGCGGTAAGCCTGCTTGGGTAAAAAGGTTAGCGTGGTTCCTGAGTCGATGACTGTGCCGCCATCACCGGACTGGTCTAGGGACCAGACGGAGGGGTGAATAGGTAATTTAACGCCGTTGACGGATGCACTTTTGATCCCAATGTAGTAAAATGTGGGGGAGAGAGGGTTCACTAGCAAGGGGGTGAAGCGAATTTTCGAAACGACTTCGTGCGGGAAGCCTCCGCCGATTCTCAGGTAGCTCGTCGGAGGCGGGGATAGGGTGTAGTCCATGAGACAGTACGAGAACTTGTTCCCGAACCGGCGGCCCAGTTGAGACGCGAACGAGATGGGCCCACGTCCCAGGCCCATAACTCCGTGTGCCCCATTGAAGCTCGGACCGGTGACACTCGGACCCGAGACCCGAAACCCGCACCCGAACGATAAGTTTGGAAGCTGGGTTTCTCTCCCGGAGCTGGTTTTCAACGTAGTCGTTTCTCTGGAGAAGAACCCGGCCGTTAGGGATCCGTCGGCGTAGGTGTACTCGTAACGACAAGGGCTGTGGAGGCGGGTGCGGTTGCAGGGACTCGGGTCGGGTTGGGGGACGAGTGTGCAGGCGGAGTCGTAGCAG